AGTGGAGTAAATTAGTCATGCACAGATGGTTAGAAAATGCTGGTCAATGAGTTTTATCAGAGCTCTGATCTGTGTAGCGTAAAATCTCAGTGGATGTAGTATTTATTTTCCTAAATATTGGTCAATTTAATATAGAATATATATGAGATTCTTTCATGCACTGTTTTTTGTTTATTTATTTATTGTTATCCAAAAACATGAATTCTTACAATTTAAAAATGGCAAGCAATGCAATCCCTATCATCTTGATTATTATAGTGTCTGAATGATTTAATCACAGACTTTAATTAATTTATAGTTAAACTTAAAGCCTGTAATTAAATGGATATTATTTCATTGTACATAACTTCATGTAGATTTATTTAAATAATATGTATTTTGAACAATCAATTCATTTATGTCTTTAGCATAGACATTTTTTATGAGATACCCTTTTTCAACTACATAAAAAGTATAAAGTGTCAAATTTCAAATCATTTACAGTAACTTGCATTAAAATAAATGATGATTGTATATTTTCTTCGTAAGTTTACAATATTGTGCTGAATATATAAAGTAAGATTTCTGTAAATTTTTTACAAGTTTTTTCCAGCATACTTAGAGAAAGTTTAACACATTTCCAGCATCAAAAAAATCTAAGTTCCACTTTCCATGCTACATGGAAGTAAAGTCCATGGTTTTCCAGGCTTTTACCACAAATGTCCAGCCAATTTCCAGCCTATTCCAGCAATGCTGGAAATGGCTGGACAAAAAAAGTCCACATAGCATGGAAAAAATACCAATTTTCCATGAATTTCCATGAAATTCCATGCTTTTCCATAGTTTTCCAGGGTTTACCAGCCTCTCTTCCAGGCTTACCCTGGAAAATCTACACCCGGGTTTAAAGAGATTGTTTGGCCACCACATCATAATTGCCATGAAAGAAAAAATGTAAATGGTTATTGATATTAAAGTATGCTTTCAATGCAGGTATTACATAATTTTTTATTAACATCATTTTTTTTTAAACTGTATATGCTTAGAATTTCAAATATTTTAATTGATTTACCACAAAGCTTTGTTATATAATCTTTTCAGATTCCTTCAATTTACTTTAACCCTTTTTTGTATGCCAAGCCATAAATATTTTAATCATTTATTAAGAATGAATTTTTAGAGTTACAGCCCCTTAAACCTGTGTAGCACACAGACTTGGGTGAGGGGGATGGGGCATGTTGTTTCTTTATCACATTATAAATTAGGATACTTAAAAAGAAAATGGTGAAGGCATGAATGTACATGTAAATGATTGCTCTGTATATTGTATCAGAGGCTAAGGTGGGTTTGGGGTTATGTTGGTTGTAAAAGAATAAAAGAAGGAAAAAGTTGTGGCTGTTTGTTTGATGATGTCCTAATGCTTTCAGTCATCATTTGTCAATTGTTGCAAGGGGGCTTGGTGATAAATGTTTGTCAGGGATCAGGCTCGGGTGTCCATTAATAAATGTATGATGATACAATGTAAATGTTCGATGATAATGGTCAGATAACAAGTTCAGGGGTTGCAAGCTGTAACCGTAGCTACTCTTACTAGAATTACTGGCAGACTGTTGGATGATTATAATTTTAGACTGTTGGATGATTATACTTTTACCCTTATTCCAATGTGTACCGGTGGTAAAGTTCACCTACGTGGACATTTAAGAGCCAAAATGGTTACTTTTCATACATGAGTTCTTCCTACAGATAAAGCAAGTTGTATTTTTGTGGAGGGAGGTTTATCATACATGGTTGTAAGTTCTATTAAACACACCAGAGACAAATGTTTTATCACCAAGTCCTTGTAATGTGTAGAGAGCTGGTTGTACTGGATTGGAAGAGAAATGGATTGTGGGGGTGATTGTTATGACTGAATTTAACATTTTAACATTCTAATGTACAAGACTACCAAGTTTTAACTACTGTAAGTAATTACACTCTCTCGTAAGAATGTTATTTATTGGAAGCAGTCCATATTTATACAAAGTTGTCCATTGTTTCAGTTTAGGAAGTAAGTATTTAATGTGATTTGAGGGTGTTCATCACACCTTGATTACCCTTTGTCTGCTTTTGGCAACAGATTTTATCAATGCTATCCACTTGTCATGGTCTGCACTGTGCGCGATTCAGTCTTAAATATCTTGAAAATCCCCCTTCCCCTCCCCAAAGATAAATGATAAATTGATTTTGTCCAAATTGAAAGATGGACATTTAAGTCCATTTTAGGTACAGGTATTTAGTATGGCAAAGGTTAAAATTCAATGTCATTTATGATAAATAATATTTTAAAACTGATTTCTCACTATAATTATTAATTGAAGAAGTTTGTTAATACAATGTTTTGTTTCAAGTGTTTTGAAATTTTGATTGGTTGAAAATGTTTTAGATAATTTTATGATCTTAGTTACATGTTTTTAAGTTATACTGGTCAGGGACCATCAATCAGACACTTTTCCATACAAATTCCACACTTTTAAATCTAGATATTCAACAGGAAATTTGACACAATACAGCTGGGTTCATCTCCAGGCTGAAAAGCTAGTAATTGTTTATTTCCAAATATGATTACACTTAGATTTGATGTCTTATAGGAGGCTGGGGGTGGGGGGAGGTATTAAAATTGCCTTTAATAAATTGTGCTAACTATTGAAGAACAGAAATGTATGACTTGGATTTTATGCAGATAATGTCTTGGGTGTTTTAAACTTCTTATTTTAAACATAATATACAATATTCCAGCAGCATTAAGGGTGGTAAAATCAATTGTCCGTATTGCCCAGGTTGAAATTTTTAAGAATTTACTATATAAATATCATACTGACAAGTTAAGAAATGCTTCAGACTAAAACAAACAAATAAGTATAAATCAGATATCGCCAGCCCTGAGCAATATACTGAAATTTTGAGTATTGTAGTGAAAGAGGTCACAGTATTTTACTCTTTAATCAGAATTTTCACAAAGTTAACATTCTTGTAACAGACTTAAAACAATAAACATTTGAGAAAGTTAAAATATATTTGATTTATTGACTATAAAAGAAATATGCATTTATTGGTTTTAAAAAGCACTTGATTATTCAACTACTTCTAAACAAAGAAAACAAGAAAATAAAGTGTTGAAGGGTTTGTCTGGTTTTGATGGTCATCTGGATTCGGTGGTCCCCAACCAGTACATGTTGTTTTAAAAAAAAAAAATAGGGTCATGTCCTTGAAATTCTTTGCTTTCCTGGCATATTTTACATGTGCTAGTTTTTATTATACCTATATTTTGAAGAACAGTATTATTTTTTATTTGCCTTATGTTATATTTCTTTTAATTTATTTAAGTTAATTTGTCTTTTTTCTCTTTTGAGTAATGAATTGCTTTCTTAAATTCCAATTTTTGTAATCTATGTAATTATATATAGTTTAATTTATAGCTTTATTTTAATTTTTTCCTCATTTCAGTGATTTTATTTTTTATTTTTTTGTTTATTTTCATATTATTCTTTTCTAAACACTTTCTAAACACTTTCGATCAATTGAATTATCAAATACTTCATATACTCAGCTATGTGTTGTAATATGTTATTATTATTTTCAGACTTTTTATCCCCTCACTTGTGGGGGATGCATTTAAATTTGCCATGTCACACTGTTGATATGTAGACTGGCAAAACAGTGGAATATGGGGGCATCTGTTTTATCCCTCCCCATCTAGAACAAGGAAAAGAATGATACATATGTACATGTAATAGATAGAGCATCAAAACACGAGGCTATCTGATTTGTACGAGGGGGCATAGCCCCAGATAATAAATTAGATTGCTGAGCGTTTTGATGTTCCTTCTCTTTTGTATCATAGGCAAAAATAAAAACATGTTCCCTGTTGTCACAAATATGAAACCCCAAATAAAAGTAACCAATGAACGAGCATCTCAATATGATTTATCTATGGCTATCCCTTTCTTTGTTGTCACATGAGCCAATCAATCGGCATGCTCTGGAGTGCGGGTAACTGATACCTGACTCTAGTTAACGCACTGTGCATGTATATGTATGCAATTTTACTCTGACACATTTTCAACATAAAGGTCCCCAAACTATGATACAATTATAATTTAACATGTGTCAATCTTGCGATGATTTGTTATTGTTTATGAAATCTTAGTGCAGTAATGGGTCAGCTCTAATAATGAGTTAAATAGGAGTTAAGCCTGTTACTGCATTAAGGTGTCAAACTAGGCAATGGTTACAAATCAAAATAAGTATTATACTTGAAGTGGGCCTGGTCAGTTATTTAGTCAACTTGATGTTCTAGCCTGAGTGGCTCTTTCATGATCATCTTCTTATTTCTTAAGAAAATGAAATAATTTTTTTCACAACAAAAATTTAACCAAGTAGGGCTTACTCCCGTTTAGACTTTAGAGGCAAAACCTAATTGGTTTTTTTTTGAATGCCACTATTTGTATGAATTTGTATTTGAATGCTTTTCCACTGTTTGTAAAAACTCATGCACATACATGCACAAGTCCAGTATGTATTTATCTAAGACTTTCTTTTAAAAATGTCAAATAAGGCTTTCTTTGGAGTCATTTCAAATCTATTTTTGATGATAACTCTTTACTCTTGCTGTATACTGTAACAGAAACTGAACATTCTTAGAAAAAAGGCCATACTGTTTATCTATCCAGTCTGACTGATAGCTAATTTCATATGTTCTTCTTAATGCCTCAAAAACTGATACAGAATGTGCTGAAAAAAAGGAAGCGAAACAAGAACTTTCAAGATTTTCAGCAAGATCTGAATTTAAAAGAAACAATTAAATATAAACCCAATTATGTTGGTAATGTTTTATCTCATTTATTAAATGTAATGAAATAACTAGTGTTTTGAGTTGGGACAAAGTCCAAACTAGTGTACTAATAAACCCCGGAATTTCTAATCGTACAGGGTAAAGCCCAGTGCAGTTACGTTTTTTCTTCATTACTATATTTTATTTACAGTTGCTCCAGATGCAATGCACCATGTGAAGACATACCGGGATGACCTGAAGAATATGCATTGTGTCGCACCTGAATACGGATGTAAGTAATGTTACACCTATATGAAATAAAGAGAATGGACGTTCACTTCTTAAACCTTTAATATTTCTGTTTAGAGGATTAAATTAGTTAATATTTTGTTCTGGATTAGATAAAAACATTTTCTGTTTGGATTCTGGATATGTAACTCAATAAGCTTGTATATCCATCCAGTTTGACTTCATTTATTTTATGTACTTTATTATGCAAATGAAAATATTACAAATATTGTTTAAACTTAAAGCTTGTATAGTAAGGTAATGTACAGAAATTGTATGTAAATATGTTATTAAACTTACACAATTGTTGTCATCAATGCATTTTGTTTATATTTATACTAGAGGACTTTAAGAACAAATGCCTGTTTAATTATATGGGTTTTTACATGAAATATGAATTACGGAAGGATTCCATCAAATGTAATGTTAACGTAAATATCTTTAAATTTCTGGTCACAAGGTGTGGTGATCATATATTATTGTCACAGAGTTTATTCTTTATTTCAGCTGGAAACGTGACAACTGCTGTAGATATTTACTCATTTGGAATGTGTGCTCTAGAGGTATAACATATGTACATACATATTTTGGGCTACTTTAGCATAGTTACTTAGGTTGACCTAAAATGACTGCTGTCACATCTTTGGGTTAAAATTCTGCTAGAATTGATGAATTCTTTCATGTTACAAAGATAACCAGCTTGCCTGCAGAAAGCTTTTGATTCTTACATGGATTTTGACAGAATTATGACCCTTTTTTGTACTTAGAAAATTTTACATTATCCATGCTCTTGTTATACTATCAAGCACTGAAAATAGCTGAGCACACTGTTGTGCAAGAGCTAATAGTGTAAAAGGCGAGGAAAAATTTCTCTGTGACGATCTTGGGTGTTAAATCTAATGGAAATTGTTTCTCACGGCAGATGGGATTAGCAGTTAGTCATTTACAGAGACATTGGTAATTACTGGTATGTTATCCAGGAAAGCCGGAAAGGTGGATTGTCAGCTGAGGTACGATCATATAATGTGTTAAAATTGGAAAGAAAATTAGAAAACAAACAAACAAACAAGGTTAAAGTATAATTTTCCCTCATCAGTAAGAGATGGAATTTCCCTGTATGTCCAAGTACATCACTAAGTCTTTTAACTGAAACAAAGATAAGAAAGAAAATGGAAGCTCAAGTTCACTAAAAGTTTCAAATTTATAAGCTAATGAAGAAACATATCATTTTATTACCCTTCCAGATTTTTTCCGCCTTTTTGATTGGATATTGATCACCCGAAAGAAATTGATATAACCGAGCCAGACGGGTAATATACACACTAAATTTCCCCGTTTGGTACCCAACGTTGTAAACAACATGCGCTGAGGTGATGCTCGTACGGTTTGATTTTACGCTGTGTAAATTCTGATTTTAAAGCACTTTTTAACTGTCAATTATAAATATTTACCAAAGTAGAGTAATGATACATATTACCATCAGTACCGAAAACAAATATGACCTTGTGAAAGCTTGATATTAATTACAACAAAATGCGTTTCAGTAGACTACTCCTTTTCTCTTGTTTACATTCGTTAGGGACGGGAAAAATACGTCATGTATTTATGTGACGTCATGTTGTGACGAAGAGGTACCCTAAAGGGAATCTTATTTCGACGTTTCATTTGAAACAGCAATGATTTTTTAAAAAATCATCTAAACTCGGCATGGGAAGGGTAATAAAATTATTATTTTGGTTTTGGAGTGATATATGTGGATATATTACCTGCCAAGATAAAATATCACCCTCGCCTAACGGCTGGGGTGATATAAAATCTTAACAGGTAATATATCCACATATATCATTCCAAAACCAAAATAACATATAATATTAATTCTGAAAAAAAAGTAAGTTCAAAGCTTACCATTAAATTTTACTCTTCAGGTACATTTTTAGAATCTCAGAAATTTTGATTTAAAAGTGTGTGTGTGGTTTGTTTTATAAAAATGATAAAATAATTTTTTTTAACTAGATGGCTGCCCTTGGTATCCAAGGAAACGGGGAGAGTGGAAATGTGATCACGATGGAAGCTATAGATAAAACACTTCAGTCCATAGAAAATCCACTTCAAAGAGTAAGATTCTTGTGCTTTTATGTTGATTAATCATAATATTACCTATTTACTCACTTATGTTTATTTATGTGCAGCTTTTGCAATCCCATAAAAATGGTATTACATGGCTGTGCATATATTTTGAAATCATTTGCATTATAAAAAATATAGCGCACTGACATACTGAATGTTAGCATTACACTAAAAACACGGCAAGGAAAAAGTGATTTTTTTCTATACTTTAAACAGTTATTTTACGTATGTGATAAATAGAATATTTGATTCAAGGAGGTTAATTCTAAAATTTATTGAACTTGTTGAATAAAATCATTCAATTTTTATAGCTTGTCTGTTCCGAAGAAAAAGTGGTGCTATAATGATTGCTGCATTGTCACAGTTGTTGTTGACTTCATGTTACTGCATTGTCATGCAAAAACTTTAATGTATTAATGTATTATTAATTATTAATACAATTTAAAAAAGTTAATAAGATGAAACTTGATGAATACTTGATTATACTGAGACAAGGTGCAGTTGTGAGACAAGGGGCATAATTTTGACAGCTTTATATTTTGAAGTTTAGAATTCTTGTCAAAAGTGGTTATTTTAACAGACAGGTGTAAATGTTGCATGTGGTGCTCTTGTTCACATTGAAACAAGGTCATTGGTGGCTTTTATACATATTTTTGATAAATGCAATATGTTGATATTGTTAGTATACAATTTTGTGTTATCATGTAATAATTATATAGCTCACCATTGTAAGTATTTTTGCTATCTAAAATAGTAGAAATATATTGTTATTTATGCTTATGTTTGCAGGATTTTCTAGAGAAATGTTTAGAGAAAGATCCAGAGAAACGACCTACTGCCAGAGATTTGTTATTCCATTCAGTTTTATTTGAAGTCCATTCATTAACATTACTTGCCGCCCACGCCATTGTAAATAATGGTAAGTTAATATCTTGCTCAGTTTTTGCTAGTTTATATTTTAAGCCCCTAAAAACAGCCAATAAGCATTTCCAAATTCAAAGCAGGTAAGTCTATGACATGAATTTAGGGTTGTGAAGGATAGGTATGTTTGTTAGTAAACTGAATCCATAATATTTTAGTCTAAAATTTAGAAATACTATTAAAATGGCGGAGAAAATTGACAGACATATCAATTTGGACATCATTATACAAATTTGTAGTATTGCTCAACATATAGTCTAGATAATAAATCCTTATTGGTTTCATCAGGGATTGAACATAAGATAGTTAAGGAATTTATCCAGCCTAGAATTCAGGCTATATGTTGCCGCTGAAAGAAACACCTACTAGTCTTTGAAAAAAAACAATAAAAAACATGGACTAAGACCGTATGTTTCAATGTTGACTTATAACATAATATGGTGGATATCTAACTTTCTTTGTAGAGGAAGACCCAGCTTAAACACTAATAGATGAGCAAACCTAAAAATTACTTGATTTGATTACATACTTACATTAATAATTTCGAATTTTATTGAAGCCCTCTCATTGGCATCAAAGTTTATTAACATTTTCGTTAAGGTCCATTTTCATAGAAACTATAAACACTTTTGAATTAAAACTTGGTATACATGTTAATCATCATGAAAGAATGACACTTCAAAAGGAGGGAGATAATCCTAAAATTATTTTTGGCCAAGTTATGCCCCTTTTATCCAACACTAAGAAAAGTGGAGTCTCCTGTCTTCTGACAGGACTTGTTTAACAAGATACTTGACTTTATTATGACTGTCATATATTGAATATGTCAATTAATTTCAGCCCAACTTGTAGAAAATATAGCTGAAGATACACATATATTAAAATCAGAACCAAAGAAAGTGATAGCTGAAGTAAAATACAAGGATGACCAGGAGCCAACTTTAATGAAGTAGGTAGCTTTATGTTTGATTTACAAACCTTAGATATATGATTTAGAACCATGTTTGATTTACAAACCTTAGATTTATGATTTAGAACCATGTTTGATTTATAGACCATGTTTGATTTACAGACCTTAGATATATGATTTTGAGTTATATAACCATGCTTGATTTACAGACCTTAGATATATGATTTTGGGTTATATAACCATGTTTGATTTACAGACCTTAGATATATGATTTTGAGTTCTATAACCATGTTTGATTTACAGACCCTAGATATATGATTTTGAGTTATATAACCAGTAATAGTCCTTCCTTCAATGATGTGGTTAGCAAAAATATGTTGAAAGCTGTAAGCGTACTGAATGATTTATGAAATACTGGCAGGAAAAAAAAGAAGAAAAAAAAGAGAAAAAATATCAAAGACTGGAAGAGAAACTAGGAGCGCTTTTGATGTGAATGCCAGCTTATGTATGAATGAAATACTGTAATAGTTGTAACAGTTGCTTTAGAAACATAAAATTAAATAATTTTAATTTAATGATATTAAAAAAGTAAATACAATTGTTTGTTTTAAGATAAAATTTGGTGATATATTATCAATATGTCCTTTGCTCTACATTCAAAACCATTTTCATGAAAAGAAGGTTGGAGTTGGGGGGAGGGGGGAGTGATAAAAAATTGACTGCAAGTTAACATGTGCAGAATAACTCCCCCCTCCCCCCAAGCACTATGAATTATGAACCAGGTATATGCCAGGATCTTGCATTTTAAAGTTTTGAAATTCTTAATATAACATATGTAAATGAAATTTTGTTTGTTTATTTTCAGATTTTCACAAGTGCAGGGATTAGAGCTGGAAAAATTCTTAGAAGATGTAAAGTAGGTGCAAATGTTGCTTAAAATATTTACCCAAAATTATTATAATCTTGTTTAAAGGTTTTTTTTTCTCTCTCTCTTATTTCTCTCTTAATCATTATGCATCTTTTAGTTAAGGCATTTTGCTGATAGTCAAGACTATTGAAACTGAATAAATAGGTACATGCAGCTAAAGAAGTCATAAAGCTAAAGTAATCATACTTTCCCACTGTTATCTCTATGGCTTGTATTGTTAACTTAAATTTAATACAGGGAAGTCAAAGCCTTGGTCCGTGAAGCCGGTTCATAGGCTTTGCTTACTTTCATATTATTTGATTATTGACATATTTATACATTTTTTTTTTCATAACTGTTGAATTTTGTATTCTTACTTGCAGGAACGGAATTTATCCACTGACTGCGTTTGACTTACCACAGCCACCAAATTCACGTCAAAGGCCAATAACTCCAGAAACTACGGAACAGGAGAAAACCGAGACTCCGGAGCCAATGGACGTCGAGGCAAGACGTGTGACTAAACATGACGTGCCAGATAAAAGCGTCAACAGGATTCTTTGTCATACCATCTTGTTCTGATTTCTGAT